ATCATCAACCAGATGAGTGATGCCTTGTGAGGCAGGCTCCCAAGGATATATGGACCGAGCCTCCGGCTTCGTTAAACCGATTTTGCTAATATTGAACGAACCCCTTCATTAACACCTGATATAATGCCCGATGGAAGACAACGCCATCTGTTGCCCGTAAGCAAAGAGCTAACCAGCATTCACGATAGAAGAATCACTCGTCTCGGGGTAAACGGGAGGGACTCCTGACACGAGTGTACGCTTCTCAGAGACGGAAAGTTCTTACTTGCGTCTTCCTTCCCGAATTTGCCATTCTCATCCGCCTTCGACCACATTCCGTCTAGGAATGCGATGCGAAACGTATATTGATGAATCTCAACGCTAGGCATAACCAGATCGCCTTCAGAAGGGTGGAGGTAACAGATCTCCAACACACGTTGGGAGCCTTGCCTCCCCACAGGAAAAAGAAGACTAACTGCATTAGTATGGCATACGGGAGTGGAAGCACGGAGAGTAGGTAAAGGAGAATTGAGTTGATATACGAAAAACATACTTCCACCTTCACCTTTAAAGAAAGATTCCTCCGAGACCACCGACAACCTGTGCCCTCGACCTTCCCCCACACCTCCGACCAATTAATTTCCAGCAAGTTTCACAATGTGATGCTCGATATATGTCTATTGGATGCATTTTTTGGCTTCTCTGCACGCAATTCAGCGTCCATGTTCGTTGCATCGGAGGACATTCTTTTTAACCAAGCTCGATCCTTCTTGATAAGCAAGGAAGCTAGCTTCGCCATAGCTAAGGCTACTTCCCTATTATCATGTGATTTGATCGCCCAATCAACTTTCGATTCACATTTGCGCTGTTAATCTCGCTAGATTAAGTCTGCGACTATAATCAGCAGGAAACGACCTAACTTTGGACTTTTAATATATGCCACCATTTACTCCCAATCAAATCCCGCGTCAATTCTTGATGTAGCATTTGTAGCAGCTGATCCTGGAAATCTCACTCGCCAAATAATGATGTGTTCAATTTCTAGTAGCCATTCATCTTAACTTTAGGCTTACACGAAAACGGACGTGCCTATGATCCGAGTAAACTATAGAATTGAAATTTGGACAACCTAAGAGATCTACAACTCGGTTGAGGTAACAAGAACGCACAATCAAAGCCGATCTGGGGCCCTCTATTAGTCTAAGTCCACCCTACCTCCCGAAGGCGCTCATTACTTAAAGACAAGATCGAACTTACCGACAAAGTCCCAAAATGGCGTCATATCTGGGTTATTAGTATACGATCTTTGCCCTATACGATCTATGTCAGGGTCAAGTATGGCAGTCTGATCGTCTGCTAAAACTACCCGACGAGACGTCAAAAACGATTTGATTCGCTGAATCAAATCAGGCCGACCCTACCGAAACAAACCAGGCCGCTTCGCACGGTCATTTGGCGCATAGGCCCCAGTGTGACGAATAGACTTATCCAGCATACAAAGCCCTCCCGCCAGATCTGCGAAGACAAGAGCACACGTCGCAATCAAAGACTTGCCTACCAGCCAGGAAACACTTCAGCGTTCAAGAAAACGTGCTGAATAGAAGAAAAACGTCGTAGACAGAATGCATTCATAGTCGCGAGATGAAAACCGGGTCTCCTATACACAACACCTATCCATCCTGAGACGCTGAAGATCACGTCTTAGCCTCGCCCTGTGAGACACTGACCTCAAGCCTCGGGCATTCAAACTGGCTAACCAGTGCCATTATCAGTCCGATTAGAGTCGGGGATCGGCATTAAACAGCCGGGGTGAGGACACCGACGGCCTGTCTCATTGACCCATATCCCATCTCACTTTTGATGTTGCCATCAAGAGACAGACCACAAATGTCCCAGGGGAATGTTAACTTTAGGCCTCTATAAAGGGAGAAGTGAACAAAAAGTGGGTGTCTTCCTGAACAGAATTGATTAATCTTTTTTGGCATTATCGTCATCAAAGGAAGCCAAAAGATGGAAAAGTGAAAAAGGCATAATTTGCATCTTGCAGCATACCTGCACTTTCTGTGATCCTTGTCCCGTTCTTACGACTGTTAATATCCTTTTCGCTTTGGGAAAGTTTCTGCGGTCTTCCACATCTTTTCCATTCATTTCTATTTAACAACAATTTTAAATCTTTAATCTTCCTAGATTGTGTTATCGCCTTTTTCGCTTGCCCTGGTATCACTCGGCACACGTCTTCTTCGGTGTTGTGAATTGGTTTTGATTTTATTTTTTTTTCAGATTTATTTGACGGCTAATCGACGGCGTAGTCGTTTTTATTTTTATTGGGGGGGTTCATAGGTGTACGTGAGGGGGTGGATTGGGATTGGAGACAGGTATGCTCATTTCTTTTTTTTTTTTGTTATTTTTTTTCTGGGAACTCTTTTGAAGGTGGTCATTTTGATTGGGGTTGGGCATAATGATTTGATCATAAGTGGGTGGAGCAACGGTCTGCTCTTTGAGTGATGGGGAAGACGGTGCCGAGGAAGAATGGACAATTTTTTTTCTCCTGATGTTTCTTGTGATGTTTTTGCTTTTATGGATTGCTTCAATTGCAGTTTTTTTTTTCAAAATTTCTCAAAACTCGGCTCGTATTTGAGTCGTTGTTGTTGAATCCTTTTGGCGTAGCTGTCCGGGGCATCGCTCTTAGAACTGGTAGAGTTACTCAAGGTAGCCCAACAAAAAAGGTTTGACGTGAAAACTTAAGCTAACTTAAAAATATACATGAATTAAAAAACAAAGAGAAGGAAAATAAGTTTATCAATGTTAAAACAAGAAAAGAAAGACGAAAAAAAAGTTTGATGTGTAAACTAAAAAGAATAAATTCATTGAAACGACAGAATTAAATAAAACAACGTAAAAAGCATTTTAAATTATAACAGCAAAATGAAAGAAATCATGAAAACAAAATACTACAAAAAAGAAAATTAAAAAGAGATGTGTAAAAATTAACAAAATGGTCGACGTAACACGAAAATAAAAATAGAGATTAGGTAATAAACAAAATGGAAGCGAGAAGTTAAAATAGAGACTAAAACAAAAGAAAAAAGACGGATTAAAGAAAGACTAGAAAAATAATTTAAAAGAATTGTTTACTTAGGACACTAAAAAACAATGAACACGTACAAAATTAAAACACAATAATTAAGCTAAAGGAAAAATTATACGAGAAAAAAATAAAATGAAGTTAATGCCGGGCGGGGATTAAAAATCAATATAATTTACACGAAAAAGTAAATCAAAAGTCTACTGAAAAATAGGTGTAAAAAAAAAAAAAACCAAACTTAGGAGCCAGGGAGGGTGAAAACTGAAAAAGAAAATTCAAAATTTTTACGAAGAACAGTCAACAAAAAAAAAAAAAAAAGATTAAACTTAACGTAAACTTAACAGTTCTTCAAACACAAAAATGCAAACTTCCAACCTGGAGAGGGACAAAATCTCGTCTAGCACGTGGTAAGATTTGAACTTTTTTTTTTTTTCTTAAAAAAAAAGCAATCCAACTACCAGTAAGCTTTAATGAACTGATATTTACCCAGACCCTCCACTGAAACGAGATTTGACAAGACTGAGGGAACCCGAGCGTGTACACTCGGGCCAAAGGTTAAAATTTACCCAGCTCTCAGAACCTCGCGATTAGGCACTTTACATTGTCTATTCTTCTTAGCAGAGTCACCGTTCGTAGACAGAGCACCAACTGAGTCACCTTCTCGACAGAGATCTTGATAATCGCGATCCAGACTGATTCCGACGAGTTTTAATGAACAGATATTTACACAGTCAACCACTGAGACGAGATGTGATACATGGTCGAGTGTTACTGTAGCGAACCCAGGTGTGTCCACACGGGCCAATGGTTAAAAGTTACCCAGCACCTGCAACCGCGGAATTGGGTAAATTTATGATCTATTTTTCTCTTTCCGCCTGTAGAAGGACCCCGACTGAGAACACCCTCTGCCCGAAATCAGAGAGCTTGATAATCCCAAGTCTGACAGTGGACTGTCCTACTCTGACGCATTTTAATAAACTGGTATTTAGATGAGATGTGACACATGGTCGAGTTTACTGTAGGGAACTCGAGCGTGTCCACACGGGCCAATGGTCAAAATTTACCCACACCCAGCAACAGCGTTAACTAGTACATTTCTTGTCAATTCTTCTCGCCGAGTTTCCATCTGTAGACAGAGCCCCGACTGAGTCTCCACATCCCTGAAGACAGAGAGCTTGCCAATCAGAGCCAGACAGCTGAGCGCCTGACCCCAAGCTTTGATGAACTTGGTATTTACCCAGTTCCTCAACTGAGATGAGATGTGACAGAAGGTGAAGATTTATGTGGAGAACCTCAGTGTGCCCACCCGGGCCATTGGTTAACATTTATCCAGCGAACTGTACAGCCAGAGCCAGGTAGCAAACCGCCTAGCTCCGACGATTTTTGATGAACTCGGGATTTACCCAAGTTCTCCCCATAAGTTGGGATGTGGCACAATGTTGGTTTTTAACGTGGGGCTTTCCGAGTGCGTACGCCCGGGTAAAGATTCCCTGTAGATCCCCACATAAACGGGGTCTGAGTTCCTCTCTGCTCGAAAGCAGAGATGTCGACAAGCAGAGTAATGGCAAACTCAGTTTTGATAAAATCTGCATGTCAGCTGAGTTCTCCTGAATATATGTATTCAGGACAGATCCATTAATGGGGGAAATTGATCATACCACATGCCTTAGTCTTGCAGAGGGAAGAAGTCCCTGAATCGTGCAGGCATCCTTTGCTCTCGTGCGAGGACGATGCAGATTGCCAGGAGCATGATATGGTTCTTCCTCATTCTCGCTAGAACTTGATTTAACGCTGCTGCGTTTTCGTAATCTTCCACGAAATTCTTGCTCGTCCTCTGAAGTATCGGTAGGTGGGTGGGCTCTCTTTTGTAAAACCCGTTCGGTGCCACTCTAGGGACCAGAGCTCAAGGGTTCCTCGTAATCTTCAAAAGGAGACCATGTTTCTGTTTCTTCAAAGTCAGTTGAAGTGTCCTGAGGACAGCCCCCGCTTAGTCTTGTGGGTCCAGATTCATAATTCTTTCGGTTGAAATTTTAAAAAATCTTTTTCTTAAAATAATTTTTCAAGAAAACACATTTCTCCCATTCAGTGGCTGTTATCGATCTTTCCAAAATTGACGGGGGTTTCCTTCTTAACCTTTTATTTGAAGTAGCGTGGAGTAGTTGCTGTTATCTCTTTTAGTTACACGTGCTATCCATTTTATTTGTTGCTGCTGTTGGTAGTTCTTAACTGATGCGGTTTCTGTTATTTGGTGCAGTTCTTTGTGATTCAAAGAATTATGGTCTTTGCTAAGACCACAGGCTTTATTCGCTGAAAGACTTTTTTCACCATTGGTCTTAGGAAGCGGTTGTATACAGCTGCCATTTTAGATATTTCTGAACGGGTTTGGCGCCATTCATTGTGTTGGTGCTAATCTCAGTTGACACTGTATTCATAATGGACTTAGAAATAAAACAAGATAGTAAAAGAGAGCTAGAAGAATAGACTATTAAGGCTAATTTTAAGAAGACAGGATATATGGTCGTTAGCATAAGAGGAACCTTAAGAGCATGAATTATGAACTGCAGATATCAGGCACAATTAGATACAGACATGTAAGTATCTGAATAGTACAGTAACGCTAATAACAACAGAGAAAAATGCCTTTCAGAATCTAAGCAATGTATTATTCTTTTCTGAGCTGCATCCCAACTGGAATAAATTTGTGTTTTATAGATAATTACGGTATTTACTAAGTGTAACACTAGGATGAGGCCTTAGCAGTGGAGTGCTCAAACTGATCACACTGACGAATTTGGTCCGCAGGACCAGCTACCATTGTGACATGGTTGGTGTTCTCGCCTCGTATATTTCGATATTTTATAAATTCTGTTTAGTCGGGAACACGGCTAAAGAATCAAGAACACTCAAGATAGAGTCATTCGCTAATCATTATAATCTATCGTAACCACGTTATGGAGTAGGAGTTGTTAAAATATTGATTATAAAGAAGTCTCTATCCATTTACCTCTTTCAAGATATTTCTTGTTGAGCAAAGTATGGTATATTTAAAAAAAGACGATAAAAAAGAAAACAAAAACTTTGAAACAGCGAATGTGATCGGCTGAGCTGTACGTCTATGCACGTCGGACGTCAGAAAAGTTTAAATTAAAATTTAGTGTCCCTACATCTTCATTCTTTCCATTCAGTGCATAATTTGTAATTGACGTTTTTCTTTATGTACTTCCTCTCCATTTCACATATATAATTCCACCAATAAGTGTATATATGAGTGATGTAGTGGGTAGCGACTCAGCATAAGAAATCGGTGAGCCAACTTCGAATTTCAGTCGGGTTAATTGCATTCACTTACGCTCAAATACCCTTGGGACACGCGTGAATCCATATCCTACCGCCAAGTATGGGTTAAATAGTAGCACTTGTAAAAGAAAATAATTTTTATTCTAAAAAAAAAAAGCCGTAAATAAAAAACAATCACTCGCAAAAATAATTATTCTTTAATATGCCAAAAACGCCGTAACAAACAAATCAAACTATTAATAAGAACATTATTTTAGTCTGACAAAGTCCTATTAGTGGACGAAACGCGTTACATAATTTTTTCCATTTTGTCATTCAATTACCAAAGATTACAGACTTATTCTATCACTAATGCATTCTACCTTTACAGAATCTCTTAAATATTAAGGCCTTGAGCCAGACTAGGTGGTGATAGCTAAATAAAGCGACATAGTATTTTTCAGGTTCAACACAGCATTATTAATGGTGAAGTAGAAGGAGTGGTGGGGTTGTCAGGTTTGGAAATATAGACTTCAAGTAGAATATACACTTTGCATAACGTAAATATTTAGCGATTGACACAGCAATATTGAAGACGTAAGAACATATGCAACGGACGTTAACCGGACGGCAGCCCTAACAGAAGTTATTTACTTATGAATTTGGGGCGGCAAAAAGTTGTTTTTCTCCCGAGCAAAACATCTTTTTTTTTTTACAAAATCGCATATGTGCTTCGAGCGTCAGAAATTTTTAAGGGGACTCAGATTTAATTGAATCAACTAAACGCCAGTTGACCTTATTTTATTTCGACTTGCATCCATTCATTCTCCCTTTCTTTTATTTGTGTCAGTTTATATTTCGTATCAGTTGTTCTTTCTTTCTTTCTTTCTTTCTTTCTTTCTTTCTTTCTTTCTTTCTTTCTTTCTTTCTTTTGTATCATCTTTCTTTCGGGATAGTTTTCCTTTCTTACTTATCAATTACACCAATTTTCTTTATTTTGTATTAGTTTTTCATTCATTCATTCTTTCTTTCTTTCTTTCTTTCTTTCTTTCTTTCTTTCTTTCTTTCTTTCTTTCTTTCTTATCTGTTGTTCTTTCTTTCTTTTGTCTTTCTTTCCTGCTTTATTTCTTTTGTCTTTCTTTCTTTGTTCTTATCATTTGTTTTTTCTTTCTTTCTCTCTTTCTTTCTTTCTTTTTAATTTTTCCTTCTTTCTTATCATTTGTTATTTGTTTCGTTCTTTCTTTCTTATTAGTTGCTCTTGCCTCCTTTATTTATTTCTTACCAGTTGTTCTTTCTTTCTGTCTTTCTTTCTTTCTTTCTTTCTTTCTTTCTTTCTTTCTTTCTTTCTTTCTTTTAGGTTTCCCATTTTTTAAAATTTTCTGTTTCGAATTTATTCTTTTGATCCATTCTTTGCTTTTTTCCCTCCCTCCTTTTATTTAAATTTCTTTCTATTGCATTTCTTTTTCATTTCTTTCATTCTTTCTTTCTTCGTTTTTGTTTTCGCGCTGTTTTCTCCTCTTCAATTGACAGAACGAAACTTTCTAAATTCAACAATTTATTACGCTTCAACACACTCACGGAATCTCCTAATCACAAAGCCTCTCCTCGCTTTCCTTACTAATACTCTATAATGCCCGGCTACTAAAATAAATTCGTTCATCATATATATATATATATATATATATATATATATATATATATATATATATATATATATATATTTGAACAACCATTTGATACTGCAAAATTTTTTATAATTACCCTAAGGAGGATAGATGCCACCATCTTAATACTGAAAATGACGTGGCGGGGATAAATTTCTAAGGAAATTCTAAGGAAATTGGTAAATAAATCTAACAAAGACACGAGAAATTGGTCGGGAGAGAAAAAAAATGATCTTTCAAAAAAGGTCGATCCTTTAAAATTGAGAAATCCAACACTTTGTCGATAAAAAGACAGTTTTGTTCGTTCTTCTTTTGGGAGAACATTAATTTATTTTGTTTTCTCTCCTGACCATTTTCTGATGCCTTTGTCAGTTTCGTCAATCAATTTTATATTCACTAAAGAAACACGAAGTCAAGAGTTTCCTAATGGAATATTATATCCTTATTTAACATTACCAAAGGCTTTTTATCAATTGCCGCTTCTATTTATCTCAGTTGGAAACAATACTTGTTCGATTCAATCATTTGGTTCCTCGAAAGTAACATATAATTAATGATTCCCTTGAAATCTCACCGTATGCATATAAAGACTGATCTTTTGTGAAGTTAGCAATAATTTATTTCGCTTGCACGGTATTATAAAGTATTCAGTTGTCCTTATCCTGTGTTAACCCTAGAACACTAACCATCAATTAACCCATTAACCCTAGAACACTAACCATCAATTAACCCATTAACCCTAGAACACTAACCATCAATTAACCCATTAACCCTAGAACACTAACCACCAATTAAACCATTAACCCTAGAACACCAACCATCAATTAAACCATTAACCCTAGAACACTAACCATCAATTAAACCAATAACCCTAGAATACTAACCATTAAAGTTACACCACTACTAACCATGGGTATATCATACCCGATTTTGAAAATATCAAAAGAGATATTAAATATAAATCTTTATTTGAAATATTTTACATGCAGGCACTTCAAACTTTGTACTTTGAGTTAACATTAATAGGAACTGAAAAACATTATTTAGGTAAGAAAATCAGGTACTGAAAATTGTAATTAAAAATAGGAAAATTTGCGCTGGGTACTATATACCCATGGTTAGTGCTCTAGGGTTAAACCGACTTCTTGTAATATCCTACCCTCACTCCTGGGGAGGTTTATAAATAGATTTAATTGGTCTTCGGTCTAACAACAAAGTGCGGTATCTGTTCTTTAGTATCTTGGTTCTGTAGCTGTCTCTCCCAATATACAGCATCTTATTGGAAAATTGGAAAAATACAACAAAAAATCAACCCTACAGACCTTGTCGGTTGAATTTCATAAAACTTATTTGGATAGATAGATCAGTCAATACGGGCTTAAATTACTAGAACGGATGCATACGATCACATGCACGCGAACACATGCACGCGAACACATGCACGCGAACACATGCACGCACATCTACACCGTTGTGCAAATTAATTGAAACAAAACGAATAATTCCGTTATTATTTACTTTTTTTTCGTATTTTTCCAAAGAAACATGACACAGGACACATGTTAGTATTTTATCCTTTCCACGAAGTCGTTCCTTGCAGATTGATCACAGATTGTCGACCGGATTTAAATCAGGAGAGTTTCTAAGCCAGTCTGTAGTACTTCACTGGCAAGGCTTGCCAGAGTGTTCGTGCAGCGTTACAATTTTCGTACGCTTCCTTGGAGGAACATCCATCGCAGAAAAAAGTCTTAGGACAACTAATCGAAAGTCGAGACAATAGTGTCTGGGTGTGATAAAAATGTGATGCAATCACGGATGACACAATATTTTTTAAGGCCAAACACATTTCATCATACACTCCGAAAATGGATTCATATTATTGCACACCACTGCAAATGACCTAATCTGAGAAAAAAATAGAAATTGATTACACCCTGTCGCTTCAGTGGGTCTAAAACTGACGGTATGAAAAAAGAAAGGAAACTAAAGCAGTTGTTTCAATTAATTTGCTCAAAGGTGCATGTATATGTGTGTGTGTGCGTATGTATGTATGTGTGTGTGTGTGTAATACTCATATCAAGTGTGGTAGGGTAGAAATTTATTGCTAATTCTTAGTCTGGGAGTGAGGTCAAAATAAATTCATACTGCTCGTACCCTCTGTGATGACACAGAGGTCAAAGGGATCAGGAAGTTGTATGGGTCATAATTAGTGTATATAGTTTGTAATAAAACTGCGGGGCGCTCCGACCATTTGCATGAAGTAATTCTTTAATTCCACCAGATCAGACATTTCGAGCTGAGAGCGCCATGTTAAGCGCACAGAGTCAAGTCGCCCTTTGTATTCGATTTGTAAGCGGTTCCACCCAGGTAGCCTCTGAATTCAAAACCAGCGTGTAAATTGTATGCGTTTATTTATTATAAAAATATATTTGTTATACTAATAATCACATAATACAATGCCAAAGAGCAACTCAAGGTAGAAGGTTACTGGGTGGTGTTGTGTGAACATGAGAAAGGGCATGAAGTGAAATTCATGGGTCTATGCAGGAAAATAATGGTTAACCTGACACATGAAGAGGTCAAGATTGTAGCGATTGGGAAAACATCTTTTCAAGAGTCTGTTTCACAAAGCTGCAGTTCTTGGAAAGAAGGTGCCGGAGTTGAACTTCTTATTGGATTATGAAGACAATGGTGAGGATTCACCCTCTACTCGTATAATCAATTTAAAGCGGTTTTAAACTTTGATATTCACTCTTACTGTACTTTTTAACTTTCGAAAATAATTTAATCAATGACATTTAAAAATGTTGGCGGCACACTTACGATACACTCGCACCCCCCCACCCCCCAGTGGGCTGCGGCATACCTACTGGAAATCACTGACGTAGATGATAGTTTCGACGTTTTCAAATGAGTTGAACGTCACCTCTGACATCATATGTGAGAGAGTAGCTGACGTGGCTATTTAAGAACATGACTCTCGTTATATCTCGCGGTATCCACGTGCACATGATTATTCTATTTTTACTTTGTATTGAAAAGGATGAGTAAGGCTAGTGAGATTCGATCCCACGGTAGAAAAACATCTGGTGTCCAGGATTTCTTGAAAAGTCCTTTTAGGGCATGAAGAAAAGAAATTTGTTTTTAATAATGATCATTCGTTAGTGATGCAGAAACAGGTGGCCCCCAGCAGTTTTTCTTTGGGGAACTCTTTTCGTGTTTACATAGTTACAAATAAATAAATTGTTCACTTTCTATTTTTAAACTTTTGCAAACAGGCATTTCTTTTTATTGTGATGGAAAACATTTTTCGGTAAAAATCCGAATTTAGTATGACCTACTTTAAATGATTGATATAAACCCTATCTGATTTTATTAGGCAAGTCAATATTATAACATTAAAATTCGTATTATCCAAACAATATATCTAAAATGTTCAGGCTGTACCTATATGAATAATATGTCTTATGAGTTTCAGTTTATGATATATATCACGCAAAATATATATATATATATATATATATATATATATATATATATATATATATTGTAAATTAACTGATTTAAAATATGGTTTCTTCTGTTTTGTAAAAATAAAAATACAACGAAGAAAAACCATATTTTATAATATAATATATAATTATAATATTTATGCTATTTAAATTTAAATTTACATTGAGCACTGTTTATAAAAAAAAAAATACAATATAAAATAAAATAAGAACACTTGGATTTATATCTTACTGTTTCAATGTAAATTTAAATTTTCTTTTTTATAATATATATATATATATATATATATATATATATATATATATATTTCAAAAGGATAGAATCAGGTAGAGCTCAATGTCCAGGACAGAGTAAGAATATAATATAAAAGGCTCAAACACTAATATTCCATGGTTATAATTTATTACATTGGAATCGTAATCACGATCAATTCATCAGACCTACAAACTTGTAGGTCTGAAGAATTAGTGTTTGAGCCTTATATATATATATATATATATATATATATATATATATATATAGAGAGAGAGAGAGAGAGAGAGAGAGGCAATAACTTTGGGGGGGGGTCAGATTTTATTATGCAAGTAAACTAAACGTGACTTATCTTTCAACTTCTAAATGAATAAAACCCTATGCAGTCCATATAAACAAAGATTTCATAAACACAGTATTTCATATATAGTGATTTACCAAGCGTAACTTAAATATGGCACAAGGCCGAATGTATGGAGCACCCGTTGGGGGTTGAACTCAGCAATCAGTCATAATTGACCTAGCGAGACTAGCTTGCTAGCGGTTACGCCACGTAGAAGTGCTAAAACATTTTTGCAATCGTAGCTGAGATGCAACACAAGACGAAATTGTGGAGAACCCAGTAAGAATCAAACTCAATACTCAATTATAATTGATCTAGCGAGACAAGCTTGCTAATCATTACACCATGTCGAGGTGTCCAAGCGGTTTTTCTAAGCGTAGCTTAGATGTAGCACATGTCCGAAAATATGGGACACCCAGTGAGGGTCGAACTCACCACACAGTTGTAATTATTCTACCGAGACAAGCTAGTTAACCATTACACCACACCGAGGTGACAAGCAATTTTCTAAACGTAGGCGAGAAAGTCAAAAGTGTGGAGCACACAGTGGAAATCGAAATCACTATTAAATTGTACTTGATCTAGCGAGACAAGCTTGCCTATCATTAAACCACGACGAAGTACCCTACAGTATCTGATATGTGAAAATAAATTATTTTTATTATTTTGTTATGCAAGTCAGTAATGCCTGAAAGCATTTTTTTATCCGACGTTATTGCTTATTACTAAAAACGTTATTTTTAGTTGGTATACGTATTTCAATTGCCATACCTGTTTTTTTTTCATTATTATTAAACAATGAAATTAATAACAAGCGGTCCAAATTGACAAAAAAATAACTTGTACCCCAATAGGAATAAAACCCTATCCATGTCTTTTCCCATCAGGGAAACCACTTTTTCAGCCAAAGTTTACGGTTACCAGTTTGGTCACGGAGACCAACACGACAGGGTAAGGTTTGGATTACCTATTTAAGGAAAGCGTATTTATCGTTGGGACTTCCACGAATCTGCTAGCTTCACTTTCGTACCCCAAACGTTAACAACAGTATTTTTTTAAAAATTTCTTATTACTATAAACGTTATTTTTAGTAGGTACAATTTGCAATATCTGTTTTTTTTTTTTTTTAATTATTTGCTTAAACAGTGAAATTAATGTCAGAATTATCCCTTGCTTTCTGTTTTGAATTGGTTTTGAGGTTTGTTCTGCTAAATTCTTCTCATTCTCTTTCACTCTCATTAGCCCCTTGCGTCTTAGTGGTATTACCGCAATGCTCGTAGTAAAAAAGATTTAAAAGAAATAAGACAACTTCTCTCTATTAGGCTAGGTACAGGTACTAGTCGTCTATGGTATTTGGGCAAACATTAGTCAACAGATACATCGACGTTGCACATAAACCTCCAGTATTTAACATCACAGTATTAGAGAGTTAGGTTAGATAATAAATATTGACTGACTGAGGTATCTGGGAAATCATTAGCATTACCAGATACCTTAACTTTGCAAAATAAATGTCCACGATTTTTATATTCCGTATCACAATATCATAGAGTAAGACTAAATACAAGCACTTGTAATTTAGGGCATCTGCGTAAACATTAGACTAACATATATCTCATTTTTGCATATAAACCACCACAGTATTACAAAGTTAGATACAAGTATTATGAGACTAAAGCATCTAAGTGAGCATTAGCCTACCAGATATCGTAACTATTAACGCTTAACATTACAGTATTATAGAGTTAGGTTAGGTATAAGTATAGATTGTCTACGTCACCTGGGTAAGCATTAACCGGTCATATACCTTAACTCTTCATATAAACATTTACAGTTTTATACAGGGTGCGATGGGTAAATGGTCGCCATTTTATGTGTTTAATTTTGCGCATGCGCGTTGTTTCTTTTCGATTTTGTTGACCTTACACTGTAGTAGAGTCAGTTGGGCACCATTTGTGAGAAAATGACGCAACTCACTCCGCCAGGAATTTGGAAACGGGTATGCTGTACTGCTTAGAATTCGTGCCGGAAGCTCCAATACGAACATTTCAAAATGTTTGGGTGTCAATCTGAGGACAGTGCAGAGGATTCGGAAAGCGATGGATGAGTCTAATGGTGGTTACGGCAGAGAGAAAATTTCGCTCTGATCGTTCCGATAAGAAAAGAACTCCCGAATTTGTTGGTTAGGGCCTCAGAATCAACACGGAGGCCTACATCAAGTGCATTGAGGAGGTAGTGCTGACCTGGGACAAGAGGATGGCGACTGGGAGACCATATGCCTATCAACAGGACGCTGAACCCTGCTACACAAGCAGGAGACCCCAGTCATGGCTGAGATAATTTCTGCAACCACATCTCCTCTTTCATCTGGCCACTTAACACCCTAAACTGAAACTCTCTTGATTATGTGCGTGGCACAGTTGTGTGAGAAACCTAAGGACTCCTTGTAACACCATAAATGAACTGAAGGCAAGGATTACGGTAGCATTCACCAAATAAAACATGGAGACCATCCAGAAGAGTTGCAGAAGATTCTGAAGTCTTCTGAAGGCCGTGGTTGAATGAGAATTTATTGAATAAAATGTTCTCTATAGTATTTCAAGATATTTTTGTGTCATTTTGTCTGTTAAAATAGGTGTCATTTTGGTAAATATGCCTCTTAAAATGAGTGTCATTTGGTAACTATGTCTATTAAAATGAGATGTCAATCTTTCATGTTTGCGTAATTTAGACGTCAATTTAATGATCGCACCCTGTACATTACAGTATTTTAGAATAAAGCGAGATACGTGTGTTAGTAGTCTGTGCCATTTGAATAAACATTAGCCGATCAGATATCTTAATTTCTTTTAACTACATTTGCAAGAAAATGTTGGGTTTATACGTCATCAAATACAATATTTCACTTCTTTAAATTAATATTGCAGAATTACTGTAGATCAATGAGTTGGTAATTCAAGGCAATATATGACAATCGATGGTCGTCTAATCACTACTACACAGAAAAACATACATACGCACTTGGATATAGGTATTTGTAAATATTAGTTTAGTTTAACCCAAAGTCACTTGCTCTGAGTATTCAAAGGATCACTACAGGATAATAAACCGCGAAGCCGCCCAAATATAAACTTATATTTTATATATGATCCACGTAAACACGTACATGCGCACACATATCCCTCCCCGTGCAAAAGCACAAACATACACATACATAAACACATGCACAATAATACACATATGTATACGAAAAAGCAGTCGGCTTACGGTCACATAACGTTAAAATTTTGATTACCGTATGATCACCGAAGTTAAGCAACGTCCAGTTTGGCCAGTACCTAAATGAGTAACCACTTAGGAATAAAGGTTCTGTAAGCTTGGATATTTGGGTGGCGTAATGGATAAAGGCTTGTAATTGTTAATCGGAAAGCCGAGTTCCAATTCCATGTTCGTTATATTCATTTACGTGTAAATACAACTGGGAAAAGTATGAATCCACTTATTTTCTTCCCAGCTATGGGTTAATTAGTAAAACTTTTATCACTAAAATTATTACTATCTCCCCACAAAAAAATTAAATCGTGTACAAAATATTCAGATTTCGGCATTAAATGACCCATAGAAGTTGATATGCCGCTAAAAAAAAACAAAAACAAAAAAAAAAAAAACAGGTACAAAAAGTAGAGACGTAGCAGAGATAAAAAATCATTAGATCAGATCCAGATCCAGGTCCTTAATCCCCTCCCTGACTAACCATGTCTTCAGGGATGCAACCATACTCACCGATTGACCGATTAAAGGTTGTTGCGGCTATTTAACCCATATTTGAACGTTTTGAATTCATATTTGTTCTACTCCTACACAGTTTACTACCCAAGGCTATAAGCTCGAGTCTGTTCTGCTTTTTAACCCATAGCTGTGAGGAGAAAAGATGGATTCATATCTTTCCCAATGGTATCTGCATATAAATGAATGTAGCGAACTCGACTGGAATTCGAACTCGGCACTCTGATTCCTCAATCCTAACCGCTATCCATTACTATCCACCATGTCTCCAAACGTACAAAACAAACGCATGCGCAAAAGGACAAACAAGTATATACATATAGTCTCAAATGCGAACAAACGCATAAACAATCACTGAAAGACGTACAAGAATGTTCTGCTCTGAATTAGAATTCTGAAATTTGAATTTTTGTTCCAGACTTTGTCTTTAAAACGCCTCTCCGCTATTTATTTACTCTTTCCCACTGCACCATTCTTTCCCACCAACTTCACTCTTTCCCCGCTACCTTCTTACTAATTAATTCATCAACAACCCGTTTCGTCCATTTCCGCTTCTTAATTCAGCCGCCATCTTTATTTACATCATATTCTTCATTTGTCGCCTTTTAACTTTCGAAGTTTGCTTTTTGTGGTTTTTCTTTCTTTTTTCTTCTTTAAACATCCTCTTTATATGGAAAGCGGGCCACATAGAATATGCCGTCTGACTTCACTGATTTACGAGAGGCATTAAAAGAACGGTCGTATTTAACTGAGATGGAATATCTCTTGTTCCAGTTAGAAACATATGCCGTATTTAATAGAAACACAAGCAGGATAAAGAGAGCGAGTAAACAACTTAAAGTGTTTGCGTGAATGGGTGGTAGGATAGGGATTTTAAAATGACAAGAGAAAGGATGTTGTGGAGAGCCAAATTCTCTTATGCTTTAAAGGAACATGGTACATATAGAAGAACATAGGTCGCACTAAGTTTTTAGGGACCTACAGTAGCTCGACAGTTATCAAGGTTGCTTTTTAGATTCAGTTTGCTCGTGTAGGAAGTTCAATCCTTGTTGAGTATTCTACGAATATCGATACGAAGAGTGGAATTGACGAACTGGGTTCAAATTATAGGCTGGGCTATTGCATTAACTTTCGCACTAATGCCCTTGGAAAAGGCAAGAATCAGATTCTTCTCTCCCTGCCTCTGAGAATGAATTAAATAGCTGGGTAGACTGGACTGTCTATCCTTGCGTGGGAACCAATTTAACTCTATTCCAGTGTGTGTGTGTGTGTGTGTGTGCGCCCGGGGGGGGAGTGTCAATTTAATTCTAGGAATGACAGCAATGTGTCCCATTAGCAGGAAAACGTTTTTAGTGAAGATTTCAGAATATGTCCCAAATTTCACTTACTTGAGATGTACAGCTGTCGAGTTTTTCGTTATTGAACAGTAAAAGAAAGTGCATGGGTTCATGTTATACTGTTGGTAGAAAATGAATAATAAAGGAACTTAGAGCAGCAGCCTAACTTCAAGTTTTTGTGAAGATTGGTGAAAGGTCTAGTGAAATATATATATATATATATATATATGTGTGTGTGTGTGTGTGTGTGTGTGTGTGTGTGTATGTATGTATTGGGTCAGCAGATGATTATTTAAACATATATTATTAAATATAACAGACAATGAATGTTTATTATGTCTGATCCTGAGCCGTTCTACTTTTCGAATGTTTGCTTAGAACCAACCTAATAAAAATATCCAAATGTTGGACAATTTTTGTCTTCAGTTGTACCACAAATTAGCGCAAACATTCGAACAGCTCATGATCAAACATAATAGACATATAATAATAATAATAATAATAGTAATAATATATAATAGGCTGGTTAATGAATTTTGAGGAATATAAAAAACAAAATGATAACAATATTAAAAATAAGATTGATGGTATTTATTCTATATATGTTGCGATGGATAAATTGTCGCCATTTCATATTTTTAATTTCGCGCATGCGCGTTGTTTGTTTCTGATTTTGTCGTCTGCACAGTATGGTATAGTTAGTTGGGTACCGGCTGTGAGAAAAAGATCACTATAACGCAATTCACCAAACCAGAAATTTAGAAACGGCATGCTGTACTGCTTGGCATTCGCACCAGAAGCTTCAACACTTCAAATGGGGATTACGAAGGTACGGCAGCTCGGAAAACTCACTCTGATCGTTCTGATTAGAAAAGGACTTCCGAATTTGTTGGCGAGAGCCTCAGAATCAACACGGAGGCCTACATCAAGTGCCTTGAGGAGGTAGTGTTGACCTGGGTCAAAAGAATGACTGCTGGAAGAATCTGTGTCTGGCAACAGAATTCTGCACCATACCACTCAAGCAGGAGAACCCAGACATAGCTGCCATGCAATTTCTGTAACCACATCACCTTTTACGTCTGGCCACTTAACTCCCCAGATTTCAACCCTCTTCATGATTATGTGTGGTGTACAGTCGAGCAAGAGGCCAACAAAGTTCCATGTAACACCAAAGATGAACTGAAGGCAAGGATTATGGCAGCATTCACCAACGTAAACAAGGAGACCGTCCAGAAAAGTTCTAGGAGATTCCTAATTATTCTGTTTGAAGACAATAGCGATTTTATCGAATAAATTTTCTCTATAGTATTTCAAAATATTTTTGTGTAATTTTGGTAAATATATCTGTTAAAATGAGATGTCAGTATTATTTTCATCTTTGCGTAATTTAGACGACAATTTATCCATTGCACCCTGTGTTAACCTTTTTGACTAAATTGAAGCATATAAAGAAAGATTTTGATGTCGTGATCTGCGATTTTATTTTCAAAATAAAATCACGCCTTAAAGGATTAAACAGGTATTTGGAACTAAGAGAATATAATTTACACGGGTAGCCCTCTAACCACTAACAACATACCCCGGAAGAGTCCCACTTATTTGTGTATTCCTTATTTCGTTGAAAAAGGACACAGGCTTGTCTGAAAATCCTGACATTAAAATATTTTTCTTTATCTTTCAATTTCGTCAAAAGACTAATATATAATAAATATCATCAATCTGATTGCAATAATGTTATCATTTTCTTGTCTTATTCTTCAAATTTTATTAACCGGCCTATTAAATCTACATACAAGAAACTCATGTGTAATATCTTTCGTTTTAATCACACACACACACTTTCAGTTGCGAAATGACTATTCACCCCAAACATACGCCAATTTGACACTAACATTCGGCGATAGCGACCCCATAAGGATGTCAAATATAATCATATATACCTAACAATACTTACAGATATAAAATAAAATAAGAATTTTCATAAAAGTAAATTAGAATAATATTATACTATGTTTAAAACCATTTTTTAAATAAGAGTAGGAAACGCTGGCCATAATGAAATTGGAGAGGTACAATTTATAGGATTTAATTACCAAACAAATGGTGCGTATTATGCGTGAGTAGAAGCATTTTCTCACAATTTCAGCACAATTTCAGGTGCGTATTATGGATGAAGGCGTATAATACATTAGGAATTACGGCATATAAGATAAACAAGAACTAGGAAACGTTTATCAATCTAAGATGTTTCACTCTTATTAAAGCTAAATCAGAGACTGAGATATAGACAAAATGTCTCGAAGCTTCAATAAAAGTAAAACATCGTAGACTGATAAACGTTTCTTATTTGTTCTTTATCTTTGTTAGATTCCGATCCATATTTCATACCAACATATATATATATATATATATATATATTATAATTATTTAAAAAAAATATGATTCCTTTGCTACATAAGAGTTCTCATGTTTCAAAAACGAGAGCCGAAACTATCAATATAATTATTAAAATTAAATTGTTCAAGATTTTATCTTGTTTAAGGGTATTTAGATCTGTTAACAAATTGTTGGTTAAACCAACGTATTTGGTTTTATATATATATATATATATATATATATATATATATATATATATATATATATGTGTGTGTGTGTGTATATATATATATATATATATATATATATATATATATATATATATATATATTATAGTGATTTTTCAAGCGTAGCTTAGATGTGACACAAGGCCGAAAGTATGAGGCGTCTTGCTGGATGCCCCATACTTTCGGCCTTGTGCCACATCTAAGTTACGCTTGGAAAAATATTCAGTAAAATAGTGTTTGTGAGCAGGTCACGACAAAAAGCGTGCAATCAACACGCCTCCAACTCCAGGTTCTGGTGGCATTATTGTATCTATCCCTTTCTCGGCGAACCCAAGATTCTAATCCCTGGGTAGTTAGCAGACACCTACAGAGTATATGCCAACCAAACTCACCGAAGAGATAAATGCAGAAGCCAAGCCCTAACTTTTAATTTAAAAAAAAAAAAAAGAAAAAAAGAAAAGAAAAGAAAACAGCAACTAGAAGACCAAAAAGTATTCATGTCCACAGAGTTTAACAGCATTAAGATAATAATGCTTGAATGCAGAATCGACCGCATATCAGTGCGCGAGACTTTTGGAAAAGTGCCTGAAAACTATAAGACCGTTTTCCACAAGTCATATGTATAAAACTGGGTAAAGAAAACTGATCAGAGGCCGACGATCGTTGTACTTACAAATCACAAGTCATCATGACCGAGGGTTTGAATCTACTGATCTGGGTTCAATCACGCCAGCCGCAACTAAGTTCCACGGAACTGAGCCACAGACGAGCGTTTCGGTTAGCAATGTGTCATTTGTTTACATTTGGATATGCATCGAGCAGATATGAATGCACGAGAGAAAATCATGGAAAATTGTAGTTTAAAAACAGTAAAATCGACCTTGTTAATTGAAACGCTCCTCTGTAGCGAAATCGGTAAAAGCACGTCAGGCTATATGACGGTTCCGTATAGGATGCAGGTTCGATTCCTGTCGGAGGACGCATATAATTCTATGACAATTTCTCGAACATTCAGGCTGGTAAATGTTGTTAATACTGTTTATTATAAATAGAGCATTTACTTAAATATTTGTATCTATAAAAAGAATGTATAAACATAAAAATGTCATTTCATATATATATATATATATATATATATATATATATATATATATATATATATATATGTACACCTGTGTGTGTAGGAGACAGAAGAGAGACAGATCGATAAGAGAAAATCAGTAGCACACAAAAATGATTCCTATTAACATAAAATTCATCTAAAATCTTTGTGAAGATGAACAAGGCAAAGTTTCTGATTGTACCCGAGACATTACTCGTTCGCCATGACTAAAAAATACCTTGTATTCATTCAAGTCAAATTGCAGAGATCAGCCAATTTATTTAATCTAGCCAAAACTGAAGCACTCTTGCCATATTATCGACGTTATCACAGCCTAATATATTGCTTTAATCCGGTTTTCCTTTTCTCCTCTGTAAAACAAATTCGCTTTGTTATTGTGTAAACACTATTGTAGTTGAACTATTGTGGGATACGTTCGCAAATTTAAGTGTTTTGACTTTAGGCTTTGTTGTTAATACTGTTTATTATAAACGGAGCATTTACTTAAATATTTGTATCTATAAAAAAGAATGTATAAACATAAAAATGTCTTAAAATAATTGTCGGACTTTGTCCATTTCATAATATATATGTATGTGTGTGCTGTGAAATATATATATTAGATTAATAGTCTGTAGATAGAAATATCTTTTCTGTGACACGTTTCGTTCGGAAAAGTAACTTCTTCAGACTAATATGGATGGAATCAGCCTTATATATAAAAGAGCTGGTGGAAGGTGAGAAGTGAGAAAATGCAACAAACACAGGTTACAGTTTCCATAAAAGCGTTAAAAATAGAGAGATACTCCCCAATTAAATTTAAATTTTGACTTCCGATGTATCGAGATATTTAATTTAGCCTAACATTCAGCTTTTATTTTCAGTTTTATGTTGTTGTTTTTTTAAAATTATTTCATATTGTATCAACAATAATTTTATGATGAAAGGAGATATATTCTCTGAACTCGGACGTAAATTTATAGAATGAAACGCGTCACTTAAAGGATCTTTCTTTCTTTCGTTTCTTTTTATTTTTTATTTCCTAGTTCTTCCTTTCTTTTCTTTTTCTTTCTTTCTTTCTTCCGAAATTATTACTTTCTTTATATTCCTTCCTTTTTCGTTTTTATTTTCTTTACTGTCATTAATTTTTACTTTTCTTTTTTCTTTCCGTCTTTTTCTTTCTTTTTAATTTCCTAGTTTCTTCTTTTTCTTTCTTTCTTTCTTTCTTTCTTTCTTTCTTTTCGAATTTATTCCTTCTTTAGTTTAGCTTTCTACTTGTTTTTAATATCTTATTTTCTAACATTTCTTTCTTTCTTTCTTTCTTTCTTTCTTTCTTTCTTTTTCTTTCTTTCTTTCTTTCTTTCTTTCTTTCTTTCTTTCTTTGTCTCCTCTCTTTTTAATTCCATTATTTTCTTTCTCATCAAACCTTACAGTTCTCTCGATACACAACAAAATATATCCCTTTTAATACACCAAGTTAAATAATAAATAAATAAAACAAAATAAAGAGAAACTAAAGCAATGAGGGGCGGGGCTTAGCCAACAGAATTACTTGTGGGGGTCAGAGATAAGTTGGTAGCATTGGCAAGCAGTAATGAAATTCAGAGACGGGAGATCTGAAGGGTGGGATTATATGCAGAATAATTTATTCACTTCTGCTGAGCTAAGCCCAAATTTTGAAGCCAGTGAACCCGAGGCACGTCTTGGTCATTCGACCAGGATGTGCGAATGTACTTGAAGGCTGAAGGAAAAGAGTTATAAGGGAAAATAAATCTGACTACTTAGTTTTGCCTTATGCCCGCACACGCACACGCACGGGCACACACACACACACACACACACACACACACACACATATATATATATATATATATATATATATATATATATAATGTATATCTGGTCAGCAATCATTCTTTCAAATATCTTTCGTTGAATACGACAGACAAGGAAAATTTGAAAGTTTTTATATAATTTTTCTAATATTTATACATACATTTCTATATTTCCGAGATGAGGTATTACGTACACTATTTACATTATTCGGACTATTGTCCTCATCTTTGTCGACCCAAAGAGTGTGAGTTCAATACCTGGTTAAGGCGGCGGAGAACTTGGAGAGGGAAATTAACAGGAGATAACTGATAACTGACATCCATTAGACATGGCATATAGAACTAGAACAGTCTACCCCAGTGAGCGAAATAAAGGGTTCAGTTCGACATTCCAACCACCTGAAGAAACCCGGAGCGTACAATGGCCGAAACGTTGTAATAAATATGGCGACAAAGATGAGAACAACAGTCCGAATAATGTAAATAGTGATTTACACATTTTTTCCTTTGGTTAGAATAAGGCTGTGTAAAAATTGTCCCTAGTGTTTTCAGCCACTTTAACCAATTGTTGTTAAGCGTTGTTAATTTCTTTTCATGTTTAAGATCTATTTTTTTGGAGATGTCTACATAGCAACGGCGTTTTTTCTGAGCCCCACGGGTTGGGCGTGGCTGGGATTCGAGTCCCTTTTTCATCTGTGAGGAAATTGTCCTGTATTTGTCATATAAGAAGATTGATATGCCATAGCAGTTTAGCACTCTTTTCTTGGTTTCTTGCGAAATTTTCCTGTTTCTTAATAGTTTGTTTCACTTTTCGAAGGCATCTTTCACTATTCCAATGCCCCTTCGGATTTCGGTGTCATATTTTCGGTCATCTGTTAAAAGACTTCCCAGATATTTAAATATTTGGAGCTCGCATCTTGGGCTTTTCCTCTCGCTAGCTCCCCCCTCTCTCTCTCTCTTTAATTTTCCAACGGATTTTTTCGTAGGACATACCAAACACTTTTCACAGTTTCCGAGAAATGTCTTTATTTATATAGACGAGGTCAATATCGGTTTATATTTCTGAGATCGGGTATTATGTACATTATTTACATTATTCGGACTATTGTCCTCATCTCTATCGCCATATTTATTACAACGTTTCGGCCGTTGTACGCTCTGGCCTTCTTCAGGTGGTTGGAATGTCGAACTGAACCCGTTATTTCGCTCACTGGTATAGGCTGTTCTAGTTCCACGTGCCATATCTAATGGATCTTGGCATAGTGGATAAAGGCGTTAGTTAGATCCAGTGACAGGACCCAAAGAGTGTGAGTTCAATACCCGGTTAAGGCAATGGAGAACTTTCAGAGGGAAATTAACAGGAGAAAACTGATAACTGACATCCATTAAAACATGGCACGTGGAACTAGAACAGTTTACCACAGTGAGCAAAATAAAGGATTCAGTTCGACATTCCAACCACCTGAAGAAGTTCGGAGCGTACAACGGTCGAAACGTTGTAATAAATAGGGTGACAAAGATGAGGACAATAGTCCGAATAATGTAGACGAGGTCAAATCAAAAAGTATTGGGACTCGTGAAATATAAATAAAACTACAGCACATATCCATTCGGCATCTATTTCGAAGTAGTCCCCTTTTGAAATCACAGCGCTGTTTCCATTGATGTAATTCCTTTTGGGGGATAGCGAGCAACTGCATCATAGCATTGTCTTGTATATCCTCGACATCTTCAAATATTGTTCCTTGAAGGGGGGTGCGATCTGGGAAATGTGGTGGTCGTCGGTCCTAGAGAATTCTGTCTTTTATCAAAATCTGCTGCACCAATTGTGGGCATTGATGGAGCCTTTGTAGTATGGTGAGACGGCCACACTCTAAACACTCTCCTTCCGAGGACTGCTATAAATAACGAAATTGAGTGATAATGTTATAACTTAGTGTGCATGCACGATATTGTTCAAGGTCAATCTGTGCAAGCAGCTTCAGTCTGCGTACTTTAACCCCATTACCATAGCAACAGTTCCGATACTTTTTGATCAGATCTCGTATTAAAACTGATGTTAACACGGTAAAAACGTTATCGGCGAACAAAGTTTTAATTTCTGTTAAGGCTGTTTATTTTCTGCGAGAACCGTTACCCTTAAGAAAGGCATAACTCTTCCTTTTACTCTACTCCATTATTATATATAAAATTGTCTCATTACTGACATGTCACAATAGTAAACAGAAAGAGATTTATACAGATCACCAAGAACCATCTTTTAGATATTCAGGTACGGACAGCAAAAAGAATGCTTCACACACACACACACACACACACACACACACATATATATATATATATATATATATATATATATATATATATATATATATATATATATATATATAATAGCCGGTTACTCGTATTCGAGGATAGGCGTCTACTAGGGCGGCTAGCCCCTAGTAGACAGTTATCCTAGTATGGATATATATATATATATATATATATATATATATATATGATGGAGAGTCCATGATATATATATATATCCATATATTTGCACAATATGCAAGTCATTAGCCGGATTGAAGTATCACGTAAAAACTGAATAAAGTTGTCAGATCCTATATATATATATATATATATATATATATATATATATGATGGACTCTCCAGTCGATTTCGACTGATGAGAACCCTAAATGCTTATTTTTGTCTTTCACCAGTCCAGATGAAGTCGCATCGAAACAAGAATGCGTCTTTGTAGTGAGCAAGTTGTTTTTGTCTGTATGTAAAATTATAATAAAAAATTCTTGGTATTGAGCCCTCTTTTTAATTAATGCTGTGAACACTAGAATTTATATTATTTTCGTTTTTATTACATTCATGTATATATATATGTGTGTGTGTATGTGTGTGTGTATGTGTGTGTGCGTGCGTATGTGTGATTAATACAAATAAAATTTGTCACTTAGCTGATTGATGTCTTATTCAGCACCTCAACTTCAGAGTTTCGTAAAGTTCTTTGTAATTTATACACATACACACATGTATATAAACGCAGATTCACATGTAATTTATACGCAAACATACACACACACACACACACACACATATATATATATATGTGTGTGTGTGTGTGTGTGTGTGTGTGTGGTATCAGATTGCGTATATCGGTATTTGTACTTATAGATAAACGTGTATAAAGTTATTGGGTGTCTGCATTGGACTTAGCGTGATGTCTGTCGTCATTCACCAGATGGCCTTTCTAACTTCCCTAAAAAAAATCTCACTTCCTGTTTTCTCAGCAGCATGTATATAGAGACTGGAAGAGAAGAAAAGATCGAGTTGAGAAGGGACCATTAAAATTGCAAAAAAAGAACTAGACAGGAAGGGAAGTATTAGAGAGAGAGAGAGAGAGAGAGAGAGAGAGAGAGAGAGAGAGAGAGAGAGAGAGAAAAAAGAATGTGAGTTAATAAATAAAAGGGTTAAATATCCAGGTTCTTATTTAAGAGAGTAAATCCGCCACCAGATTCCCTTCCCCGTTTCTTCCTGTGTCGATGCTTTTTGAAGGCAAATACTGAAATTCAGCCATTACGGACGGGTGTTTGCATGACTGCCTAGATCGGAATGAAAGCCGATAAAATCTTGTGACAACTTAAAAGAAAATTACATATGCATTTTGTTATATTGATACGTATTTTTATTAGCTTTTGAAAGTAATATCCTGCTTTTGAAGACCGAATGATCACATTCAAAAATAAACAACAGTTATTAGGAGTACAGAAAAAGTACCTTTACTCTGCATATACACGCGCGTTTTTACGACTAGAGATACTATCTTCCGATGATCTAAGCTGTTTTGAAAGTTTCTAAGGCTGGTTTTTCCTCTATCTTGTGCTTTTAAAACAACATAATCCACAATTGATGGCCGTCCAATTTAGTGTTCTATTTCAAAGAGCACATATCACTGTCCGTAAAAGGTTTAAAGCTGTTTGTGGCAGCATGGTAAGATGTTTTTTTCTTATTTCCTCCATCTTTCGAAATTCATCTCGCAGCTTCTTCAATTTTGAGACAGAGTTTAAAATAATGCCTCAATATTGTCAAAAAACATTCTAAAAGCTAAGCAGTGTACTAAGAAATAGAAAATCCTCGCTAGAAACAAGGAAAATAGTACTAAACTGCTATGTGATATCTCTGCTTCTGAATGGCACTGAAAAGTTTTAGAGATAATGGAGACAAAAAGAAACTTATAATTAACATAAGGAAGAGTCAGTTTAGGGTCTATGGTACATGAGGAAGGAGGGCTTGAAAAATTTGATACTCACAGGACAGATAGAGGGCAAGAAGGACTGAAAAAAAAAAAACAACGCGTAACATACTTAAAGACCTTGAGTAAATGGTTAGCAGAACAGGGCTTAGGAGGAATAAAAGAAAGACAAAGTTTATTAAGAGCTACAAGGGACAGGAAGTTGTGGAGAGCCATGATCGCCTACGTCTTGAGGGGATACGGCACATAAAGAAGAGGAATTTCCAGTATCTCAATATTTATACACGCTGTTACAACATCTGAAACAAAACAAAAATATGTATTAATATTTTAGATTGTTTAGACAACGTAGTTTTATTTTGCTTATTTTGTTTACTTTTTTATTTTGTCACTTGTATTTTAAATTTTATTCTATTTATACATTATTCTGTTCATGTATTATTTTATTTTTGTATACTTTGTAGAGAAATTAACATGCGAAAAGCGAAGAAATAAGCAATCTTCAAACAGCTCTACACCTCTAAATAAATTTTATTATTGAATATTTCTTTATTTTCAAATTGAAAGAAACAAACTACAAAGACCCTTGCTAAACAGGTTCATATAACAATATTTTGCTTTCTTTCCTTGCAATACAACCGAATCATTTGAGTTAGTATGAGATAAGTAAAAGAATGTGACTACATAAGGAGAGTATTTACGTTGTTTTATAAATGTGTGTAATTTTCTAGAAGTCAACATGCCAGCAGGAGAAGCTGTTATAACAACTACTAACATATTGTTTACACAACGCCGTTCGTATGTTTCAAGTGTGCATAATTAACTTTTAAATTGCAATGTTATTGTAATAAGTTACTCGATACTATATGGGAAATGTTAAGTAATAAATTATATGAAGAGATTTGAGTAATCAGTTCGGCCAAGTTTTACGGAAACACTGAAAACTAACATAACACCACAAATATTTATAGAAAATAGTCTCGAAGAAGATAAAAATTTGCTTACTAAACACGTAAGTTTGTTGGTTAATAAATATTTTTCCCAATTTTTGAATATCTTTTTTAGGAGGTAAAATATTGTTGAACCTTTTTCCGGAATAATCCCTCAATTTTTGTAGCAGAGAACAAAACATGGTTGTTGGATTTTTCAAAGACTTCAGGGCGTTTGAAATAAGGTCGCTGATTGGTTAATGGATAATGTGGAAATTTAAATCTGGTGTCTATGTTTTGCACAAAAATGAGTTAATTGAGGTTTTTAGTGATATTATTTAAATCTATTGATTTTTTCTATAATTTTTAACGTAGTTCCACACTTTCTTTGGTTCTAAAAGGAAGAGACAGCTGGAATTCCCAGGACATATAATGAGGATAGAAGGCTTGGAAAATTTGATACTCATAGGACAGATTGAAGGAAAGAGGGACAGAGGAAAACAATGCATAACCTACTTAGTGAGCTTGAGTCAATGGATATCAGAAGAGGGTTTGGGAGAAAATTTATTAAGAGCTATAAAGTACTGGAAATTGTGGAGAGTCATGATCACCTACGTCCTGAGGGAACACGACACATAAGAAGAGGTTATTAGTCATTTACTACTTTGAGTAATCTGTCTCTTGAAGCAATCTTTCAGGATAATAGGTTTCTCAAGTCCAGTAGCTGTTATCGCTCTTTCCAGTATTGTTGATAGGTTTCCTTCCTTACTTTTATTTGGAGT